AATACAAGAAAAGTGTGTATGGATTGCCGTGTAAATCTTATTTTCTAAGGATGGCTACAGCCATGTATACTAGTAACCATGGATGTAATTATAAAGCAGGGGAATAACGCACTTCTCAGCTTCCCATTGTGACGATAATTAGTCAGGACACGAGACATTTCCAACAGTGGGAAATCCTGTACACTTCGCGTGTCCCATGGTGTGCGCGGGTTTCCTACAGTGGACACGCCGGGATGGGACACCCGTGGACACTCGTGGACACGGCTAGGACACGTCAGATTTCACCAACGTGTCCCAGCTTGGAAACTTGTGGAAATCTCGGTTTTCGCCCAGTGTAAACGAATCAAAACGGGACTGGCCGCCAAACATAAAAATGGAGGGAAATGACAGACAACAAGCCAACAAAGACAACATCAAAGACATCAAAACTGCGGCGAAAAAGTAACATGGGTTCGTCCCAAATGTAGACGCAAGTGAGCTACAAAAGTAATAGAACCTATGCATCTTGCTTGTTGCTGTCAACTTACCCGTTAAAGATTGAACGTACTATAACTTGCCATACCCGGCCAAAGACGACTACATTACTGTTACTCTTTATTTTGTGCTGTATAATGTATATGCGTTACATTATCTATCATTGTCATTTCTGTGAATTCCTTAAAACATCTACTGTTAGTTTGTGTAACATTACGTTGTGCTACAATCTGCGTAAAAAGTGGGCTTCATTACGTGTTATCTGCTAAGTCGTGTTGGTATTGAAAACGGTTTTATTGTGCCGTTAACGTTCTTCTACAAACAGCCAGCAGAATTATGAAGATACTCGTTCTCAATACACATGCTGCAAACTAAAGTAATGGCAGTCCTACGAAAATTCTGTTTGTAATGTATAAGCGCTTTATGTCGACGTACAATGGGTGTGAAATACTATTACATGTTTTCGCCCATCGTGTGCCACCGGCTCGGTGATAATTGGCTACTTTACAAGTGAAAGAACCGCGTCCGTGGGCCTTGATAAGCTATTCAAATTATTCAGCAGCCCTCTGATTGGTTTCCGCTAGAAATTTACTGGATGTCATTCAGTGACGAGCCCCCCCCCCCATTTGTCAAATTCTATGCACGTGTCGCAATACTATATTTCTTCCAATCATAGAGGTATAATACCTCCATGCTCTAATAAAGTTACTATTTTTGAGGTTTCAACTCTGAAGTAGGAGCTCTGGGTCGAGGCCAAATTACGGGTGCGTGATTTATTCTGGTTTTCTACTGAGAAAAATCGGGACAGTATTTGCGCCGGGCAGCCGGCCATGTACGCGAAATGGTACGCCCAGTATAGCAGCGATCTATTCATGTTTTATGTTTACAATTGTGCAAATTTTTTTTACAGAAATTTGATCACATATGCTTAAAAATATTGTTATACTGATGTTAAAAAATATTTTAAGACACTGAATCGCTGGCTGTGATGTGCAGCAGTGTACGTACGCCGCGTAGCGTGCCAGACATTGGCCGTGCAAGCCTATAGAATGCCCCACTTGCGACATAAATTTCTGAGGCTTATCGTGCGCATCGTGCGTATCCACAATTATTCCCATCGTAAACATAGTCACTGGGATCTGAAATGCATACATACAGGATAATTTCCCTTCTTCAGCGGGAGTTTTGTTTATGTTTTGATCGTACACGTCAAACTGCCACGCTGGTCTACGCTGCGCGCTGGTCTCGGCTGCACTTCCGGGTTCCATAAATCGACACCATAAATCGACAAAGAAACAAATATTTCCCCCCAAATTTATATTAATTGTGCACTTTTTCACTAGATGTGGCTATGCAGTCCTGGAAAACAGCGTTTAGTGCATATTTTCAAACAGAAAAATCGCGTCCCCGCGCCCTTCATGTTGCCGCCCGGCGATCTCAGCTGAAGCGAACAACCAATCAGAGACGCGTAACGCGGATACGTCATGCAAGATTTGCATACCGCCCGCCCACCGCTTCTGCTGGCTGCTGCCATGCTAGCTACGCGCCGTACTTGAAATAAATTGACGTGTATCGCCGTATTTCTGGAAATAAATGTCGCGACACGAAGATCTAGCGCTGACTCAGCTTGCACCCAGCGTTCAGCGTCACCCGCGCCATTACCCCCGCCGTCATCCCGCGCCGTCATTGCTGCGCCGTCACCCAACGTTTTTATCGGAACCAGACACCCCTCTGTTTGACCCCTTTTGAATGGTAAGACCCAAAACTGAAACCTCCCCATTCCTTAACAACATGGTAAATTCCATTTTCAGCATGGCGGGGGTGTCCGGAGCACTTAAAAACCTTTTATTTCCACGCCCATAAACACATATGCAATTAAACAAAAACGTTCTGCATCATCTGCAGCCCAACAGCAATACGTATACCGAACCACAGACAAATCCGTCCAGCCGATCGCGAGAAACAGCTGCTGACAGAAATGTTTCGAACAATAGTAAAACCTCCTCGCGGAAGGATATCTCCTTCCCCGGAGGTAATGAAACACGACAGAAAAAAAGGTCCTATAGTATAGAAGAAATAAGCTCGCACCAGGTTTCCTTCCGTAAGTACGCGGATGTACTCGTATCAGAAGTTAGAATACACAAGCCCCTGTGTGACAATTTGCCGTCCGCCGAGGGACCCGAGATGAAAGTGTTTTCTCTCCAGGTGAGAGTGGCCACAGGTGAGCCATGTGATCTCTGCCGAGAGGTTCCTCAAGTGCCCCTTGTAACAATTATAATTGTCTGGAGGACCCGACTCACGGGCCACCGCGCTCACAGAGGATGTTGTTCAGTAGATTGGTATTCTATGGGTTTGATGTTACCGTGGTAACGGAAATGCGTATGTGGTGGGAACACGTGACTGGGTTGTCTATGGCAAGAACCAAGAAATATTACCAATGACTGTGCGTCCCATCAACCACTATATGTATCAAATTGATTTTCGTTGAAAATATAACACATAATACCGTTACGTTCAACCTTTCAATCAATAACGGTACATGAATTTTTTAAAGTTAACTTTTGAAATTAAAAAAGAACGCATAAAGAAATATTTACAGACAGAGATACCTTGATCAATGTAGAAATTTATGCTACGACGAATTCGTTAATAAAAATTAAACGAGACATAAAAAAAAGCTATTCTTCCACGGTTTCTGGAGCTTTGATATTTGAGAAACTAAGGCATGACGCAGAGAACTATTCACCGAAACGAACTTAGATCGTACAATAATTTTAATGAAACACAGTTCCATCTTCCGGACTATTACAAGTACCATACTATCACATCTCCATCCGTAGCGGCGGCGGCGTACAGGCACATTTTCCGCCCAAGCCAAGCGGAGAACCTCTTAACCCGTCCGCACGGCCGATTACACCTGGTGGAACAAGTGCTTTCCTTTGCTCCCTCCCCCACCTGGACCATTAAGGTACCCAAGGTGCACTCAGGTGTTTTGTCGGGCAGAGTTGGAGGAGGTTCTTGGTTTGTATTGCGGCGGCGAGGGAGGAGAAACGGTGTGTTTCCCGCCCAAAGTTGTTGGCTGAAGTGGTGACAGAAAGCAATGGGTTCTCCTTAAGACATTCCTCTGGACTTTCTGTGGTAAGCTTTGAGAAGTGGGACAGGTGTTGAATGTAAAAGAAAGACAACAACTTTCGCCTAGATACTGGCCCACGTCCTTCTCAACAGTGTAGCGTCAGTAAAGTTTTACACGATGCAATGATTCACGTTTTAATTGGGCCACCTCATTAGCGTCTTTTTCTTGTGTTCCTAGATCCATCTTGGAATTGGCTTGCTGTGTATGTTTGGGAATAAAGTACACAAATAAAAGAGGTTGATGCAAAAAGGCAGCAAGGCTGTGTTGGCCAATTATGGAATGGCAGCGGCACAAGTTGCAAAAAGCTGATCGTCAGTTTTTTGTCACCAAATGTATCTTTTTGTATGTGCATTGTATTCTCTTGTTTGAACACACGATGTAGACCCGATCCAGGATAATCGTTAACAACGGCATTGCCGCCATCTGAAGCAACAGTTTCCAGCCAAATCCTGCGGATTTCCCGCTGGGTTTAAACCGCCTTGAGAACGTGACGTTTGCAGAACTGATTTAGTGATTAGCCAGACTTTGGGAGGATTCCGAACAATCTCTGTAGCAACTACGCGGAATATGGCAGGATTGGGACGTGAAGTAGTTTGTTCTTGCTACATCTGTAACCGATACTTTGGTAAGGCGGATTCGTCGCGGCATTAGCTGTTTCTCTGCTTTCCCGTAGTATAAAAAGTTATGGTAGTTGTGCATGGGCGTGTTTAAACCTTTTTGTCGACATTGTACATACATTGATACTTTTTCATTGATACTTTTTTCTGTTCTGAATGCCTTCCCCTACCATTCATCTTACGTTTCTTGTCATTTGTCAAACCTTCTTTTTGATTAGTTATTTCATCCAGGTTTGTGTTTCTCACTTTTTTTCCACAACCCCTTCTCGATCATGACTGTTGTTGGTTCAACGCGACGCCAGTTTGAAGTTGAGGACTTGTAATCCTGGCTATATCGATTTTGTCTGACGGAAAGTCCTTTTCATTAGTGGAACGGGTCTCCAGTTTACTCTGCATTTCGAACCATTGCTCTATTCTAAATACAATTTTCATTGTATAAAAGCTGTCACAGAAACGGTCGCTGCATCCTTCTCCCTGCTGATTAATCCCGTGTCCAATAGAAAATTGTTAGCCGAAAGGCTACTTCGTTGTGCTAAAGGTTGAGCTACATGTAGGCTGCGGACAGTGTCGCAGTAATTATTTATCTTAGCCACCTATGCCTTAGCTTTAAAAGTCGATATATATATATCCATTGGCATTGCCACCAGATCATCCCGACATAACTATGACACACGTATCTTCCAGGTTACAGCTCGAATTATTAACCAGGTTATATTGCAAACCAGGTCACCCTGACCACTCTCTACCCTACCGGTACAAAACAATACACATTGATAACGGGTTATCATTTCCCGTCATTCTTCGCCCAGGAGAAAAGAAAACATGTAATCAATCATTCCGTGATTAGATGGTAGTAATACCGTATAATTTCCCCGCCATTCGTCATCAAGGAGAGATATCAGACGACAAAGAAACAAAAGCAGCAATTGGTCCTCGAGGTATTTCAAGGTATTTATCTAACAATTTCCTTCTTTTGCTGCCTGTGACTGTGAATCAGTCTCTAAGTCCAGTGGGAGCCAGTAGAACTGGTAGAATGAGCAAATGTTACAGTGGTAGACCCGGATAGAACCAGTCTAAGAGAAGTGCTCCATAAACACTACGTTTCGACAAGAAACTACGGATTAAACTTCGTTACAACCAGAGAGCTCTCATGTTGTTTACTCGCGTGTTAGGATCGTGCAAGCAGTGCCCCTCCATGACGGGAAACTTCGCCACGGATGCTTTAGACTAAGGGCCGGTGACATCAGCCCAATGATATTCCCGAGGGACTACTGCACAAAGAGCTGCATTGCAGTGTTCACCTTGTCGTTAATTTGTTGACTAACTCTTGTTGGATTTCTAATTCTTGTTTAGTAATGATAAAGGAAAAAACTCAAGCGCCGAAGGTCGTTTGTCGGGCAGACTATTCCACCAGGAGCCCGCACGAGTGTCCTCCAGATGGATCAAGTGGGGAAACTAGATAAGGAATGCAAACATCTTCCTGAATTGGCTTAGCTTTGATTTCATTCCGCCTGCCAACCGATTCTCTCACTCGACTCTCAGCTCAAGTCTCATTAGCCGAGATGTTATATAGTGTTAAGGTGTGGTTCATGCCCTTGAACAACTATGGTGCCGACCAAGCCAAACACGGATGGTAGCTCGGCTAGCTTCATGACAGCGTCGACGAGTGCACGGTGGACATTGTTGGGATAACATGAATCAGACCACCATTGTATATTGACACCGCAAACACACCTGGTGAAGTGTGATGAACGGAACACGTAAATTCACCGCCAGTTGTCACAAGAACAATGATGTTTAAATTCGCAGTAGTTTTTTTTTTTTGTCAAACCGTTTATCTAATGAAAAATCATTACAAGGCCCCGTCGATGAAACATTGGGGGCGTGGATGAAATATCGGTTTTCTTAACGGGCATGCCGGCGTCACATTTGCTCCAGATCGATTCACTGACCTTTGCGCGGCTGTCGGTGATAGATAGATTGTACATCTTCCGCAGGTGTGTCTTCCTCAAGGAAAATTCACGAGATCGGAACTGACCCAAGTTCTGTCCCCCAGAAATATAAAAAACGAAAGAAATTACAGAGAGAGAGAGAGCGTTATAAAAAGGAGAATTCAGAGCTGTAACGTTACGTACATTCCTGGTGACGAGGCTGTCAATTGACTTACACACTGGTCTGCAGACACCTAGGAGGGCGGGTAGATGAGGGCGGGCAGGATGGAACTATCGCTGACCGATTAGGACATGCGGGCTTACTGGTCTTATAGCACGGTAATTGGTACCAGTAAACGTTTGTGAGTTTGTAAGTTGTGAAGCGCGTTTTGAGCCAGTCTTAAGCGAAGAGTCCTTTTAATAGACGTCTGGCCATTAGAATATGAAAACGGAGCGCATGAGACGTGTTTTATTGGGTCGTCGCTTAGACAGTTTTTTTTTCGCACATTTTCATTTTAGGAAGGTAACATTTGCACGTATATACAGAACGTTTTCCTTCACACGATCTCTCTCTCTCTCTCTCTCTCTCTCTCTCTACCCGAG